GAAGACCAACTGGAGGAAGCACAATTTGAGGTTAGCAGGCGACTACATTTACATGTGAGAAGATAAGAGTGTTACAGAGTAACAGCATCTGTGCTCTGCACTTGCAAATCAGAATTTGACTTTTCATGGAGAAATAATGACCCTTCTAAAAATAAGCCCGAAAAGAAAAGAAGTCATCTTTGGTGGAGGAAATGGGTGATGGGAGGGCTACCAAGTCCTAAACTAGAACCCTAGAGTCCTTAAATGCCCAGAGGGGTCCCAGGGCTATCACAGGAGTAAAGCATCCAGGTGGAACAGACAACAAAGTGTAGGAGGGCCTGGTCAAATGGAGAGGTGCACGTGGACCAAAGGGGCAGCCATTTGATCCAGGGGAGTGGGGGTCAGGTGGCATGTGGGTCCAGATCTTCCAGTTTTCAAGAGAAACCAAAATCTTCCAACATTTAAGTGGTGGCAGCTAATATTAAAAATATATACCTGCACACATACATACTGTTTGTGTCAGTGCTGTGCAGGGTAGACAAAACATAGCCTGGGGCAGTGTAAGCCCAATTTTTGAAATCAGGCCTAAATCCACACAGACATCCATGTGAAAAAACAGTCCATCAGGAACAAGGATCCTTTTGTGAGGATGGCTAAAAACCATAGCTCAATCCTCAGCAAGGGGCAAGAGCCTTACACCACAGGTTCTGAGTTCATTTTCTCTCTCTGTCTCCCCTCTTTTTTCTAAGATCTCTGACCTCAGAAATCAAAAGTGTTGATGTTTCTCACATCTTATATTTTTATGGCCTCCCAGAACACAGAGGAGACTAAATCCAGAATGCTGCATCACTTGACTGTAGGACAGACTGACGTTAATGACTCCGAAGCAAAGTTTATTCTAATTTTCCAAGTTTATCCCAGTTCGCAGCTTAACAAAACCTACCTGCGGTAGGCTTGCTTGCCTTGCTGGGCTGAGTACCTCTGACGATTGAATTTGTAGTCAGATTTGCTAACTTACAAGATTGGCCTTACTCAAAATGTACAATTTCATACGAAAGTCGCTATCATCCCGCACTTAGTGGATCTCGGGCCAGGTGTCCAAGAGAGCAATGGCTGCTGTTTCTAACTGCCCAAAGATGGGGATGGCTTGGTCGCACAAAAGCTCATTCCAAATCAGAAAGGGAGCTGTGATCAAAGAGGAGAACTAGCCCATTTCCTTCTGAGGAAGGTGAAGTTAACAATCTTACAATGATCAACTTTCTAATTTGGGCCTTACAACTCATAGTCTCACTTCAAAGAAAATAGTATGCAAGTAGGCAAGTACTTTTGAATTATTTGTTCCTGTTTAAGACTGAATGGAAGATAGTTAATTGGTGTTAGGAGTCCAACTACATAAAAAGCTAAAGATACATTATTTTATTTCATTTTGTTTATTTATTTATTCATTTTATTTCTTTCATTTTAAAGCAAGGGTCTTCCAGAAAATGAAAGGACTTATTAGGTAGTTAAATGCTGTTTTCCCACTTTTGTGAATAGATACACACACACAGCAAAAAGAATACAATACTATCCATTAAGGTACTTACAATGGTCCTACAAATAATTTTTTGGTAATAAGCTATATATGGTATTATCTTTACATTATTACTTATTATTTTTCATCATAAGTCAATAAGTCTTTAGTACCTATTACAAAACATGTGCTCATTTAAGGGACTTTTGGAACCTAAGATAATTCACCAAAAGGCACTTAACTCACTAGGGGTTTTCAAGTGGGGGATTTCCTTATTCAGGTTTTTGATCATCTCTTAGAAAATGATTACTCTGTCCTTGGTAGTTGTGGTAGCCTTCAGAGAGATTCCTTTGAACTACTGACATTTCCACCATTAAGAACTATTTAGAAGTAAATTACTTGTTTAGTGTCCCAAAGAAACTTACTTAGAGACAACATCCAAATCCTGAGTCCTCTTTGTCTCAACGCAAGAATAAAAATTGCTTTTTCTAAATTAAACTCTAATTTTGCCACCAAGGGTGGTAATTGTATTATGGAGACAGACAATAGAAGATTTTTCATTCACCCAATTGTAGCTAGTCATGAAGGACCCAAAGATTTCCATATATCAATTTCATTTTTCCTTTCCAATCTTGCCATCTTTTTTTTTTTTTTTTCAATCTTGCCATCTTTTATAAATTTCTGTTTTTCCATCCTGGTTGTTAATGTTTTAAATTACATTTCATAATTTATTTTATTCGTAAGAATTTTCAAGTTTTTTATGATTTAAGGAAAACCTGTTAAAAACAACAATAAACAAACACATTGCAACCTATTTCATGTCTCTTAGGCTGGTTTAAGAAAAATTATTAAATTATAAACTAAACAACTGTCTTTTATTTTGTCCCTGAAACTCTTCTGTATGATTACTTATAAATACACCGACTTCTTTTTCAGCGGCCCTCTCCTTGTCCTCGACCATAATTTTGAGAAGTGCTCTAAGAAATAAAGGAGAGGAAAATGGCTAATCTAGTAACTGCCTAACCATAGACCTAAACAGTACAAGACAAAGCCTATGAGGACTATGTGCTATTAAAAGAAGCAGCAGCAGTCCTCACAGCTATTTCTCACACAAATTTCTAAAGTAAGTTTGCCTCTTTTTCTGTATCCTTTAGACACTTGTGAATTGTTTGGGGCTTTCAAACTTACTTATCGTAGGTCCCATGGAAATGACACCCAGAAACTAGGGGAGAGAAAACTAACTCCAAGAGGGAAGAAAAAGGGAGGAGAAGCAAAGAGGTAAAGGATGGGATATTTGCTGACCATAGATTGCGCTAGACACAAGAGGACTAGAGGAAGAAAGAGGAAAAGAGAAAATATGGCCGCTCCCTCCCATCCACTTCCAGCCCACTAACACGATTAAACCAAATTTGCTTCTGCGTTGCATGTAATTAGCACTCGAGCCCCCATTTAATTTATTTGCACACTAGTAAATAAAGCCCTACTAAGTGCGAAGTCATAAAAGCAAGCATTTTCTAGAGACACACAAGGTGACATAATGGTGTGGAAACTTCTTTAAGAATAGAGGCGTGATATTGTGCCAGTGATGGGGGCAGGGCAGCATTCTGTGTAACTAAATTTAAAAGTCATATTAGAAAAGAGAAATAGAGGATATACTACAAAATGCAAACAATGATTATCTAGGTGATAGGGTTATGTCAGATTTTTTCTTTTTACACCTCTGTATTGATAAATTTTATTTGATAAATGTTAATTTCTTAGGCCACATATCATATATAACAGTAATAAGCAAATTATGTTTAATATATATTATAGATATTATAACATGTATATATAAATAAATGTGTATGTATATATACATGCATATATGTGTGTGTATGAATGTGTGTGCATTCTTTCAGAAAAGCAGTTTCCTTGGTGCTTTAAACATGCACCTCTGGTAAAGATGCTATAGTATAAAAGTTAAGCATAGCTCTGGGCCTTGATAATTTTGCTACACTTATTAGTATTGTTGTTCCAAGAGCTAAGAGATTGTCAAAGCAACTAACACTGCAATAAGGCAGTGGTTAATGATAAGGAAGAGAAGAGTGTGATCTGAGGTTGTATAAATGGTTTCTCAATTTTGAATCCTAAATTTTCTCGAAGAAAATTCCTAAAGGAGCCCAAATATTGTACATTATTTCTGAAAGGATCAGGGAAATTTGTTTTTTTCCAATCATAAGATTGTTCCAGACATCAGTGCTTTCTTCCTTTCAACTCTTGTCATCTGGACATCAGGTGCAATCAACGAACCGCCCGGGCTTTGGAACTGGATCTAAATTAAATCCCAGCCCTGCCGCTTACTGTTTGGACTCGGTCTAATTACTTAAGCTTTCCGAACCCCATTTCGCCATCTGTAAAATGGAGATGAGGACATCTTCCTTCCTGCGCAGCTGCGAATGAACTGAGATCACATTCGTAGACATTCTGATCTGTGCCAAAGTCCTGGCACTTTGATGGGGACCAACAAAGTAAGAATCCGTTGGCTTTCAGAGAATTCGGAACTCACATGAACCTCTGGAGGCCCAGTGTCTTCGATCAGCCGTCACCACGCTGGCATTGCTGAGGCAGGGACTCTCCAAAAGAGGTGGCCGCTGCTTAGGCTTCTAGGCCAAGTACAGGCTCCCCAGCGCGTGCGCGGTGGCAGCAGGTACCACCGCCTGAGCAGTGAGGCCCAGGTTCCCTACCGCCCCGGAGTTCAGCAAGCAATGAAAGATAACAAGAAAGAAAATGGAGAGAAGAAAATTTAAAAAAAAAAAAAAAAAAAAAGACCAAACCTGAGATAGTGACTCACGGTCTTAAGGAGAGGGATTACCGGAAGGGAAACAAAACAGTTTCTTTTTCTGTGTAGCGATAAGAAGGTAAACAAGTCTCTTAAGGCGCATTCACCCCCAAGATAACTTTTTCAAGAAAGAAACGGTGCAGTCCAAAGCCTCAGGTTTAACCACCGCCTCGGGGCTGATTTATTCCCTAAAGTTGGGAACTGCCGGAAAACCTGTATTACCAGTGCAGGGAGTGCAGGTTCTCACCGCCCCGCGGCGCGCACATCCACCAGCACAGCAGCGGTGCTTCGGCATGGCTTGTAAAGACTTGTCCAGAAGATCCCCTCCAGTCTCCGGTCCCTCCAGCGACACTCAAATCTCGCACGCCCCGGCCCGCCCCCGGCGCCCACCCCTCTCTGGGCCGCGAACAGCGTCCCCGGGGAGCACCCGGAGCTGTTCCGCCTGCCCCGCGGGCTTACCGCTCTATATCCAGCCCCAAGAAAAACGAGTTCCCCGGTTTCCTGAGATCCCGCCCTCAGGGAAAGTCCTGGCAGCTCTGGTGAGCCAGCCTGTCAGAGGCCGGACAAGCCCGCCGCCCACGCGCGCGTCCCCCTGACGCCCCCGGAGCTAGTCCAGCTCCCGCCCGCACCGCGCCCGCCCAGTGGCCGAGCTGGGAGAGGCTCCCGCCCGGGCAGGAAAACACTCACCAGTGGCCAGAGAACCCAGATCTCGGACATGGCTGTGGAGCAATCGCCAAAGTGAAGGAGCCTCTCCAACTGGCACCCGAGCGGGTCACACACCCCGTGAGAAGTCACAGCCCCGCCGGGCCCCTCCCCGCGCTCCAGCCAGCCTGAGAGAGTGTTCCCGCCGGGCCCCCCCCGGGGGCGCTCACGCACAGTTACTCCGGTAGCGCTTTTCTCTTTCTCCAGCAGCGTCTCCGAGCACCTGCGTGTCTCTTCTGAGAGACCCGAAAAGACTTAAAGAAAGGTCCCCGGGCCCGGGGGCGGGGGGGAGCCGAGGTTGGAGGAGGAAGCTTTGCTGCGGAACGCCTGGGTGGGGGAGGGCGCCGTCGATTCAGCCTGCGCGCGCACGGGGCGGGGTGGGGGGGTGACGGGGTTGTAGAGCCGGGAGTGGGGATTTGTTACACAAACGGGCATTCCCCGTGGCGGGCGTTTCCGCAGTCGGCTGGCATGCCTAGCTCAGGTGAGGATCTTGAGAGCGGGCTTGATGTCCTTTCTAAACTCTTCCGCAGTTTAAACTGGGAAGGCTGGGGAGGACTGGGGTGCAGAGCGCAGACATCCTGCCTCCGTGCAGAAGCCTCGGCTAACTGCTGGGATTCTCAGAAAAGACCCAGTCTTCCCTCAGCTCCACGTGTTGTGGTGGTGACCTGAGAGGCTCACAGGAGTCCCCGGACTAGTGTATGTAGTGAGAGTTACCGAACGAAAAGTTTCAGATATTGTGCTGTGGGGATTCCGAAGAGGACGGACCTTTTATTTCTCAAGAGGAGTACAAAGCTAACTCCCAAGACAAATCACACAGCTCCAGCTGTGTTAGAAGTTCACAATTACTTCCCCTCCTTTGTTACTCATTATTTCCTGGCGAATTTTCTTAAAAAAAAAAAAAAAAAGTAGTACTTTAGTGCTTTGGTTAACAGCTCGAAGTCACTATTGTTTTGGAAAAGTTGATCTGTCTGTTTAGCCAGTTCTGCAAGAATTTTACAGAAGAAAGTTTGTATAATGACATCATCAAGGAGCATGACTCTGAAAGTAGTTCCTAGGCTGGGCACCAGTGAAGCGGTATTTCCTCGGCATCCTTCACTAAGCTTTACACCCTCACTCAGGTACTCTTCTTCCTTCCCAGATGGCTGCATCCCATTAGGAACACTCTCCTTTCCCTCCCTTTGCCTGGCTCATTCCTCATCCATCAGACTCCCTCTCTGTGGACATTTTCTTCTGGTAGCCTTTCCAGGCTCCCAAGTCTGGATGAGGTCACCCTCCTAAATGCTTTCACTCACCTGGTGTTTTGCACTGCCCTCATGGCCCAGTCTTGTAGGTATGGATTTATCTGTCTCTGCTCATCTCCCTGTAGATTGATAGTGCTGTGAAGAAGACCCTGGCTGGCCAGTCCGGTTCCTACAGTTCCCAGCCCAAAACAGACACAAAAAGACGTGAATGGTGGGGGGCTGGAGCCAGGAAGTTGGGGGTGTGTGTGGGATGTGGAGAGACTGTGTATTATCTTTGCAACTTTTCTGTAAACCTAAAACTGTTCTGAAATTTAAAAGTTTATTGAAATTAAAAAAGAATCATAAAAGGAAGGAAGGGAAGAAAGGAGGGAGGAAGGGAGGGAGGATAGAGAGAGAGAGAGACAGAGAGAACAGTTGACAAAATCAGCATCTCATGAGTGAATCATGAGCCAGCAACTTTTACAAATGGTTCTTCCTTACTTAATATTTACCATTTTAACCCAGTGAGGTAGGTGATTATTAAACTTACTTTATAAATAAAGAATTGTAGCCAAAAAAGTTTAAGCAACATTGGCCATTTGGGTAGTTAATAAATAGCAGATCCAGGAATTAAACTTCGATATTCTTGTTCCTGAGGCCCTGCTCTTTCTAACCCGATCTGCCCCCCTCCACCCAATTACCCTCAAGTTCAATGAAATAATTATAGATGCTTTGTGGGGAGGAATGTGTTTCATGATCAAATGATTTTAGAAAATTCTGGGTTAATTTAAACAGATCTCTTAATCCAAGACTTCTCAGAGCCTTCAATATGCTAATATGCACTGTGACTGTCTAAGAGGGGGCTATGATATATACTGTTCCTCAGCCTCTGTCTTCTTTATAGAGTCCTTTGAAGAACACCTTCTGAATGACCACCTTAGGAACGCTGGTGTTCTGCGAGAAACAGTTCAGACATCTCTAATGGTTATTTTTATTTAACAATGTATTCCTACAGGCCTCCAAGCCTTCAAGGGCAAAGAAATACAATTTTAATAACAGAATTTCTGGCACTCTACCAGATGTGGGAGATACTCTGGACAACCGTCCTGATTTTCCTGAAACCACACCATATGAGTTAAAGCCTGTTCTACTCTAAAGAGATCCTTGCCATTGAACATTTCCTTCTGAATAACATTTAAACACACATCTGCCTATTTTAAAAAGCTGGGAGGAAGAAAACCCCCAATACCTTTTTACCATCAAGACTACTTTTATTTCTTCTCCACGAATGTTTTAAAAATTGTTATCAAAAAAACTGCTCTCACTAAATGGCAACACATTGATTTTAATAATCCCCACTTGCAGTGCACGTTCATGACTGTTTATCCTACATCTTTCCCCTTCTCCCTGGTAACAGCATCTCTAAGTTGCCTTTGTTCCTCTTCCCTCTTCTTAGCTATTTGATGTGGGTGGTTGTACTTGTCAGGATTCTCTAGAAAAACAAACACAATAGGATATATACAGACAGATATCAAGATCTATATAGCTAGATCTATCTATTTATCTATCTATCTACCTATAGATAGATAGATAGACCTATGTATATATATAGAGAGAAAGATGTAAGGCATTGTTTTATTTGATTATGTAGGCTGGCAAGTCCAGAATGTGCAGGGCAGGTTAAGCAGGCTGGAAACCCAGGGAAGAATTGCAGTTCTCGTCCAAAGACCATCTGCTGGCAGAATTCCCTTTCTCTCAAGAGAGGTCACTCCTTTTCTTAAGGCCTTCCATTGACTGGATGAGGCCTACCCACACTATGGAGGGCACCTGCTTTACTCAAAGTCTATTGATTTAAATATTAATCCCATTCAAGAAATACACCTAGAAACACCTCAGATAGTACCAACTGTTTGGGTACTGTGGCCTAGTCAGAGTGACACATCATCCTATGTGTCAACATAGGATTAACCATCACAGTGGCATTGACACCAATCCCAGGGCCTGTGTGTGTATGTAGTGAGGGGAGAGGAAGACAGGGAATCCCAGTTGGTTAAGGCAACCAGCATATCACATTCTGTCGTGAGCTTTCCTGGAAACAGTGGGACACAAACTCTTTTTTTTTTTTCTCCACTGCATTTGAAGTGGGAATATTTGAAGTGTGGAACTGGTGAGGTGGTTCCTGCCAGAGCTGGAGACAGAGTCAACCCACGCTGAGAGAAAACCACCCTGAGAGGCTGAGCCTAGGAGTATCGCCTGAGTCCTGGATTGATGTAGTCCTGAAATTGAAACCTAGACTACCCACAGTTACCTGGCTCAGTACATTCTCAGTGTTTGCTTCTTACAGCTAAAAGAATCTTAACTACTATGTCATCAGAGCTTATAATCAGTGTAAGAAACTCTCTGTTATCAAAATTAGTTGTTACAAATGGACTGTTGCAGTTTCAGGCTCAAGTAAGGATAAAGGCCTAAACAAGCCTGTAGAGATGGCCAAAGGTCTAGCGCATCACTTCTACCAAAGAATTTTTCTATAGCTAGAGGGCACCAGATACCACATCAGCCAAGTGATGAAGAAAATTGAATACTGTTTCCATCCATGAATAGAAATATATTTGAGTTCTTGGGAAATGGAAGAAAGAAGAGGGAATGTTTTGATTTGGGTATGTAATCTGTGAACCTGATCACTGAGACATTTTCATCTCCCAAAGAAGATCTTATTTCTCTCAGGGTTAAAGAAATGACGTATCCAAAGCACCTAGCACACTCAATAAATACTACTTACTACTTTGGCACTGCTCTTCCTAAATGAGGTGCCGTCACAGGACAGGTTGCTAACCGGGGTCACAGTTCAGGTAGAAAGAAAGACAAGTTTAGTAGCTTACAACCGCTTTCCTGTATTATTTCCTATATGAGTGTGTTCACGGGCCCAAAGGTGCAGGAAGGTACTTTTCCTTTTTCTCCAAGGAAAAGTGCTTGGAGCCTGGCTGACAGAAGCTGGAAAGCTTGGCCCTGGGATGTGGAGCAAGTTACTCAATCTCCCAAAGTCTTCCACCGTGAAAACTGGTATATTAACCTACCTCTTTAGCAAGAACCTGAAAAAGACAATGGATTAGAGAGCATTTAGACTGCAGCGGCTAGGACGCAGAGAGCACCCCGAGAAGCAAGTAATGGAGAAAACAGCTCTTCTGTAGGGCCTGATTTTGTAATCCAGTTGGCACTCCTCCCCTGAGTGCCCCGAAAGCACAGATTTTCTATGAATCCACACGCGAAAAGTGGGCCCGGGCCCACCCAAGGTGTTCAGAACCGACACACGAAAAGGTAGAGACCACTTTGCAAGAAGTGCTAATCTGGGGCAGATGAGATTTAAGGCTTATTTTAAGGCTGTATTTCTTAAGCCTCAGTCCACATTTTGCCATATCTGTGGTCCACTTGTACTTTCATTTAACTAATATATATTTTTAAGTCAACTTGCTTTGTTTCTTCAGTAATTTATTTTTAAAAGCAAAGCATTACTTTGTAACTATAAATGGAAAATCAGCATTCCTTACCAAAGATAGAAGGTATCCATAAAAATAAATACACAACCATTGAAACAAAATATTTGCCTGCGTACCACTAAAAACGTTTCCCAAACCACCTGTGGTAAGGGTACCACTACACTTCTGGAAAGGTTGGCCTAAGACATGAAAGTCTCTGCTTTAGCCTTCCTCTCTGCCTCCAGAATGACAGCCAGAGAAAAGACCAGCAAACCTGGACCTCAGGCCCATCTCTAGGTAATGTCAACAGCAAGAGATGTCAGAGCAGCATGGGGTTAGGGACAGTCATTGCCTGTTAAGCCCCATCTAGTGCTGGAGGAGTGTGATTGGGGGCAACCCTCCACCAGGGCACAAACCTTTCCCTGTTAGAACAGGCTGAGTGACAGATCGAGGGAGATGATGGATGCGGAAGAGGGGAGGGTTACAGCAAGTCCTGTAAAGCTAGAGAGAAAATGCAGAGTGAGGTATTAGAGGAGAGATGATAGGGGAACAGGAGGCTAATTTAGAGCACAGAGCACCTGGAGAGAAGGAAGAAGTAGATGGTTTTCTGCAGAGGA